GGTTTGGGTGAGGCGCTGTTTGTGCAAGCGCCTGGGCTGGTGAGGGTGGCCCCGGGCTGGGCGCAGAAGGCGGGGCCCACAGGCCTGGCGGGGAAGAGTGTGTGGACCCACCAGCCAGCTTCGTTACTGCTCAGCTCCTCTGCAGAGCCCCCGTCACCGGCGCAGGGCCCACCCCGCCCCGTGCGTGGCCCGCGGGGACCATGTGGGCTGAGATGCAGCTGCCTTTTCAGGTGACGGCCCTGGGGCCTAATTCAACCTCTGTCCTGATGGGAGCTTGCCCCTTGATGAAAGTGACACAGGACACACACAACTCACACGTATCACCTTGCTATTTTAAGAATGTACTTTATACAAAATAACCAGTTCATATGGAAATAAATCTACAGACCTCCAAGGATCAAAAAGCGTTTCAAAAAGTTCTTTTAAAAAATTATCCAACACACAGTATAGAACTAACTATTGAGGTAAGTGTGGCTCTCAGTGAAAACAGGGAATCAGCAGACCAGACAAAATATACACAATATAAAAATAAATAGCATTCCCTTTTCCAGTACTGGCCAGGAAAGCTCACAGGCTTCTGCAGCAGGGGAGACGGGCACGAGCCCCAGCTGGGGAGGGGGGCAGCGTTCAGTAACTCACTCCCGAACCCACCTACCCTTTTCAAAACCACAGGACAGTCAGCTGGTTTGAGAAGTTTCTACATCAGCCCCCAGAGCAGAACGAGGGAGAGACCAGTGGGCAGGCAGCCCGCGGACGGACTGCTCGGCAAGGGCGTGCAGAGCAGTGGGGATGAAGAGCGGCCAGCCTCACGCGAGAGGACGCAGGGCAGGGAAGGCCCGTGTCCCGGCAGAGTCCAGTCACGGGCTCAGCCCCTGGCTGGGGACCCCGCACCCCAGCAGCCGTGGCCCGACGCCCCAACTCCCACACGACCCTATTTCTGAGGTGGGCATCCCAGTCCTTCAGCTGGACTCTGAACGCCCTGGATGCCGCCGTTCTGTGACGGTCCCTGCCTCGGGGCGATTGGGTTAGGGTTTCACGGGAAATTTCAAACCAGGACTTGAGAGCAGTGTGTAGCTGTAGATTGGAACTTCCTTTAAAAAGTGAGAAAAAAACTCAGCCCAGGTGACGCTGGCTGTCCTGGACAGCACGCAGCCCACTCCCAGACCCGGCAGGAACTAAGACAAGTGATGACCCAGCAGTTAACCCGCGCGACAGAGACCTGGACGCCCAGTCACGAGAACGCTGCCAGGCTCTGTGGGCCAGGCTGGCTGAGGGCCGAAGGCTTTCAAGCAACATGAAAGTTTTCCTGTTCAGAGGCACCCGGGGCCCCAGGTAGGGCGTCCTGCTGACAACAGGCCAGTGTGTCCCCCACCCCTACCCACTGCAAGGGAGAGGGTGCAGCAGCTTTAGTTTCACTTTTAAAAGGTGGGATGAGAAAAGTGTTATGAACAGGTCCTGTGTGTCTGTCCTTACTTAGTCTTCTTATGTTTTTACTGTAATAAATTTTACCCAAGAGCTAATTTTAAATGGACAGACTGAGGGGAAAAAACCCCAGGCCGGACACCTTCCAAAAGGCTCTACTTTTCTCTCTGGATCTTTTATTTCCCTGGGTCCTGGGGAGACAGTTTCTAACCAAGGTCAGCGGTGGATGTGAAGTCCTCCTGGCCCCTGACAGGCGGCAGTGGCCCCACGGGAAGGCCCCTCTGGGACCTCCTCCCAGGCCACGTTCCAGCTGGGAGGAGTGCAGGGGCCCGGCTGGGGACAGCCCTACCGGCCAAGGGACGCAGCAGGCTCACCACAGTAACCACATGGGGCTCCACTCCCTCCGCACCCCCTCAGTGTCCACTCACCCAGAAGGGAGGCTCCTGTCCTGTCCACAGCTCCTGGGGCAGCGGGTGATGGGGGAGGAGCTGCGGCGGTCGGGGCGAGCCAGAGCAACCCGAGGCTCCGAGGCCCCCAGGCGGAAGGAGAGGGCGGAATCGCTGTGGTCCCTCCTGGCCCTGCCCCGGGCTGGTTCGGCTCAAGGCAGGGGTGCCCACAGCCTCGCACCCAAAGCAGCTTCAAGGCCGGTGGGGAGAAGGCTCTGGGCGCAGACCAGCTGCACAAAGCTGCGGTCTCCCCTCCCGGCTGGCGCACAGACACGCGGGGAAGCACAGTGTCCTGGGCACACGGTCCTTCACGGCTCGGGAGCCAACCTGGACCTGCCCGCAACCCTACGCCATCCTTCCCAAGGGGCGAGGCTGATCTCCCCACCCTGAACCACATCACGCCAGTGACAGGGTTCTAACAAGAACCAGGATCCAATGAGAACACAGCCCCCAAACTCACTCCACCTAAAAGCACGCCAAATTTTAGTCCGGTAAGGAAAAATTCGTGTTTCTGTGCAGCGTGTCTGGGAGGCGTCCGCGTTCCCAGCGCTCAACCTGCCCAAGCCTCGTGCGCCCCGCAGGTCAGCATCCACGTGTTTGGAGCTGGTGCCTGGGCTCCACGTGGACAACAGGGATGTTTCCAACTTGTTTCTTTTCCTACTGAAAGCGCAGGTTTATTCCAGCTTCATCAAGGATGCTAGGACTGGAGGCAAGGTTTTCCTGGCCTCTCACACAGTTGAATTTAAAAGAAACAAGTGCAAATCAACCAACCAATGTTTTATGGAAGCTTTTCTACTATCCCAAAGGCATGCTTGAAAAATACACTATATTCTTTACAGAAACCTGTAACTTGAGGGCATCTTCCTTAGTTGTTTTTTTCTTCTTTTTTCCTTTGTGGGATATTCGAAAGTTTAAAACGTATGAGTCCTAACTTTGGTGGCATCTCAGCTAAAATCAAAGAATGCTAAACAGGGAGAATCCAGTGTCGTTGGCTTCTAAAACTGTAATAAAGTAACTTAATACCGTAAAACTGTTTTCTATCACAGACAAACAAGTGATTTCAAGAACTTGCTCTTGATAGCTATTTTAAATCTCCATGACTTATTTTACTATGATTCACATAAAATGAATAAAAACTATATATACTGAAATATTCCTAAATTCAAGCTGTAAATCTATAGAATACATTTTCCTATTAAAAACTGTGCAGCTTCTTTATTGATACTAAACATATACAAACCTGAGTAGTCACTGCCACAAACTGTGATTCGTGCCAGGAGGCTTGTGGCGTCTTCTAGACCACAGTCCCGGCAGGCCTGTGACGGGGACAGGTCACCTCACCTTCTAACGAGCAAATGCTCCTGATACTGGCTCACAGCTACCTGGCGGGGCAGCTGGCCAACCAGGAGGGGTGCTGCTGTGTTGGATCAGGACCTGGGTGCCAAGCCAGGGGGCTGCCCCTCAGGCTGACAGGAAGAGCCCGTTAGAGGAAACACGGCGGCCTTGCCTGCCCTCTCTTCCAGCTCCCAAATATGAGTGGGTCAGGGCTGTAAACAGAGGAGGGTCAGCAGGGCTGCAGGCCCACCGGCCAGACTCCATCCCCACCACCCGCCCTGCAGGCTTTATGTACAATACATTCACCACCAACGACAGAAATCATCTTAAAGGCAACATGAAAACTCTGTAAACTGGACCCAGCTCCAAACACATCCAACACGAGTAGTCCCTTCCCCAAACGTATACCTGAGTGCAGCTGCCATGACAGCCCACCAGCACCGCCCCCCCCCCCCCC